TGTGCATGCTTCTTGCATAAACAGAAGGTGATTCTTTTGTGGGTAATTCTTCCCAAACGGATGAATCAAGAGTCTCTGAAGCAACATCTGGATAAGTCGCAAGAGAGAAAACTCTGATTTCTCTGAACACAAAGATCTGTTCATTCATGAGATTCTGGTATTCAGACAGAAAACAGCGCAGTTCTCCCATTTTCATTTGATGTGATTCTAGCTAGTGCAACATTTAACTTTCACTTTTGCCTTTTCTTCCAAGAACATTATGCAGCAACACAGTCACGTATTAGTACTTATAGGTAGACGTTTTGGGGAGATTTTTTTACCCTGGTCGTGCCTGCTGTCATCGTTCAGCTAGAGTAGCTGTTTTCAGTGCTTTCAGTTTCTGGTTTTTCAGTCTCGGCTGCATAAACATGCATACGGCACTTGAGTTAAATAGCATACAGACTTCAACTTGTGCAGTCGCAATCCCAATGAAAATCTTCAGGCTGTCCCATCGGCAGGTTCAGTATACTGGTCAGAGATGAGCATTCGAAGGGAAAAGCAGGGAGGAGTGAGGAGTTCTGCTTTATCTCATCCCTATGTGAACAAAGTCAATTTTAAGAGTGTCGTCAACATTGAACTAGCTTTGAAGCAAAAGTTGTATGGACTGAAAAGGGCTGTGAGAGCAGCTTCTCAAGGATAACCAGCGTTAGCATTTCTTTGTTAGGTGACTTTTGAGCTGGGTTCAAGATGGGTGGTCAAAGTTCTTCTGGTTTTTTTCCTGCCTTTAAAAGACCATTCTTGTCCTGCCGTCCGCAGCCTGTTTATTACGTGGCGGTTACACGGGCATTTCTGATTTTATTTCCCTGTGGTGACAGGTTGGAGCAGGTTGTTTGGGAAGAAGCTTGGCTGGGGTGGGGTGTGCACTGAGCCCGTTTACACTGGAAACTTTACACTACTGAACAGCACGTTCTGAATGCCATAAAAAGTACATGATTTCAGTGTGAGCGGGGAAATACTGCTACTGCCATTTGGCAGAGTGTGGAAACGCGGCCACAAGAGTTAGATCTCAGAGGGAAGGTGTGAATGAAAAAATAGCACAATTTTTTCTCCTTTTCTTTGCAGACCAGGGATTAGCTAATGCTTGTGCGTGCATATGCAGTGTCCAAGGTCTGCAGCGTGTCAGGCGTGGAGTGCCAGATTGTCTTTCTTTCTACCAGAACGTTTATGCTTTAATTTGGGAAACGTCGTGGGAACCGATAGCATCTTGTTTCTGAGAGAGACTTTCTGATAATCTTAGTGGTGGTATGGTGTCTGTGTGTGAGACGCTAACTCCTGGTCCCTGCTGCGGTGACAAACTCGGCAGTAACACAGCGCTCGGAGTTGCACTCGGGTCAGAAGCTGTGCAAGGCACCCTTGGCACCTAGGCTGGGAGTTGCCAGCCTTTTTTTTT